GTTTTGGAAATAAACACATGCAAACGTCAGTGTACACTAATTTGTAATGAGCCATAGTGCTAATGATAGTTTGTACAACAGCAGTATTTACATTGACATATTTTAACCACTGTATAGTTTCCCTACATTCAAAATCCATGGAAACACATGAATAATACCATTGTGTGAGAGGGGCCCTGAATTATAGCCAGTTAGCAACCTTCTGTATTAGTTTTTCATTTATAAAATGCCTGTTCGAAGGATTCAAGCCACTATACTAGACTATGACAGCACTTACAGCACTTTACAGATATGTACAGAACATATCTGTAAAAAAAAAAAATCAAGGCAATTGGACTTGCTGTATTTTTCTTGAAGACATTGCACTGGTCATCTGACCAGCTTTCTCAGAGTGACTTGGGCAAAATACACTGGGAATAAATATGGTGAATGTTGCTCCAATCCACATAATCTGTTAATCTAATCTCGGAAGACCAGTGAAATGTCTTCAAGAAAAATACAGCAAGTCCAGTTTCGTTGACTTATTTTTTTACAGATATACCATGATCTGGTAAGGGCTCATTCACACTGTAATTGGACAGCACATACAGCTCCGTGCTGCATGCAGGACCGTATCGGGCAGCTCCCGGGAAGGACAGGTGCTGCGTGTGATTAGTACGCAGCCCCGTCTGTCTCTATGTGACTATGTGGCCGTTCGCCCCCCTAGGCTCACCTGTCCTGCACTTCTGTGCAGGTGCGAGTGAGCGTACTCGTACGCTGACAGGATGGATCCTCTCTGCGTCCGGGCCAGGAAACATGCACACGTACGGACCTGCACTTGAGGTGAGCGTAGGGGGGCATATGGCCGCGTAGTCCCATAGAGAAGGACGGGGGCTGCATACTAATCACACGTAGCACCTGTCTTTCCCGGGAGCTGCCCAATACAGCCCTGTACACAGAACAGAGCTGCACATGCTGGCCGATTACAGTGTGAACGAGGCCTAAATGAGAACCTTCACAGACATATGCACAGAACCATTTTTTCATAAAGTGACCATTTCTGTGCATATTGAGGCTGATTTACTAAAGGAGGTAATAATCTTCATTTAAAAATTATGTGAATACTAACTTCAATTATTCAATCATATGAAAAGCAAATTTCTGTTTTCTTTGAATACCCAGTCCTGTGCAGATGTTTTTCACATGAATAGATAATTTAAGAACATACACCATTTTTAAGTGAATATTCTCAACTTATTTAGTAAAGCAGAGCCAATGAGGCTAAGTGGTTGATGTGGGCAGCAAGAAATCTTCTTAGCACATACTTGATACATTATGATCATCTGGTGCACAACTTTGGTGTTTGTCATGCAAACCATGGACCCCAACAGACAAGACAACATAATATTTTGTAAAGGAGCTGTAATAGAGAACATTTTTAGCAGTCTCACATTACACATTCCAGTCTGACTGTCTCCTACAACATGTCTCCAGTCTCCAACCACACCTGTAGCATGTCCGCAGTTTATGACTTTTCATTCTTGTAAGTTTGCAGTCTGACAGTCTTCTGTATTAAATATACTGAATATTATGTGTGGTCCTTTGGTGACATAAGGGGCCACAACTGAGACCCCTTGTGGCTTGTACATTGACAACCACTGTTTTCATGGTTGCATATGCCTTTAAATAAAGATTACATAACAATTGCTTACAACTTTTGTTTTAAAAATAATTTGTAGAGGTTAAAGCTGTTAATACTAAAATGTGTTCGATGTGCTGTATTTTATTATAAAATAATTATTTCACATTTTGTGAATGCTTTCCATGTTTTATAGTCAGCTTTTCCTGTAAAACAAAAAGCAGTAGATGCCCACTAGGCCAGCTCGTGGAAAGGTCAGTATTTTGGCACAATCTATATCTAGTCTCCAGAGTATGACCTTTTCAATACACCTTCTTTGCTCAAAGCATACAAGGTTTTACTAGAGCGCTGTTTATCTTAACTTTTCAAATAACAAACAGAAGATGGAGAGGAGACAGTGTAGTCACTACAGTATATGAATAATTTTTCTCATAAGTCTTCTGAATATTTGTCTACCTTTATTAGAATAGAAAATGGGGAAAACTTCTGCTAATATAAAGTAACACAACAGTTTGTTCCCGTAATAAAAAAATATTTGTTAAAGGTATTAGTAATTATCTTTGCCCTGTGATGTAAAAATCATAAATGCTAAGTTATAACATTTTAAAGAAGAACTCAGTGGAAAAAATACTTAACCCTTACACTACCCCCACACTGCACACTGCACACTCCACACTCACCCAAACTTCATACCCAGCCTGCTGTGACGTTGCTCACTCCAGCCTGTTTCCTCCTCCTCTGCAGTTATGGTATGTTCCTTGGTATCCTCACATCCTATACACAGTGTATAGAATGTGATGACTCAAAGATCCCTAGACCATTGTACCTGAGGGGGAGCAAAGTGGAAGGGATCGGTCTAGGAGCCAGCTGGCTCATAGGATCAGGTGAATATAACTTATTTTTTAGACACAAACAAGCACTTAACCCTTGCAGTGCAGGGGTAGCCCTACTGGAAGGGTTAGGATTTCTTCAGAGAGTTCTGCTTTAAATGGGAACACATTAATTAATATTATTACTTTTTGGCATGTGTGTTATAACAGAAAACAAAACTATGTAATAATTAAGTACAGTAAAAAAAAAAAAAAGCTTATACCTACAAGAATGAAAGCAGAATTTAATTATTAGCATATGGTCAGAGTCTCCAATACTTGTTCAGAGGAATGCACCCAAGTTTCAAATAGTGAGTCAAAAATCTGTTTTGTATAGTAATTACAATTCAGCAGCTTTTGAGCTCATTTACACTAAGCCTGCTGCCTGGCATGCACAATGATCAATAAAGGTAATATTGATACAAGGTTGAATGGAACAATGGTTAAAGCCTTCATTTATTCACCCTTACCTGTGACTGTGGATGAGTGCATTAAAAGCCAATCCATCAGACCAACTGCTGGTGAAATTGATAACGTTGACCTGTGGGTAATTGCGAGTTGATTGGCGCACCCAGCTAAGTAAGATCTTTTCACTATTCGTCTGCTGCAAGTCAGCCATAATGTCTTTCATTACATCCTTCACCTGCATAAAAATACAATCATTAGGGTTTGATACTGTAGATGAAGATAAATATTTAATCAACAGCCACAGCTAGTAAATAATCAGCCTACTGCTGGACTAAATTATTTCTGTGTCACGCAGATTATCAGGATTTAAGGTGAAGTAGAATACAATAAAATGGTTTCACAGCTGCTAAAAAGGAATGTTCAGCAGAGATAATAATGCCCTGTCTGTGGAAGGAGCATTTACTCATAATGTACTGTGTGCCCTATTGCTGATCTATGAAAAGTGAGAGTTAAGAGATAAGATAGGAAAGCATGTGCTCTTCTGCAGACAAAGCTATCTGAGTAAATATCTTAACATGCACTGGTATTAGAACTGTTGTCTGGAAATTAAAGGTAGACTCAGAAATAAGAAAGCAGTTCAAGATGCAGGCGCAATCTGACAGAGACATTTTTCTGCATACATTTTTTATAAACTAGCAAAAGTGTGCCTGTTCATTAAGCAGGATATATAAAAGTGTGTCAGCGCAGTTGCAGAGAGTGAAGAGGTGTGTGCTGAATCTGTGAAGTATGGGGTCATGTGAGCTGAGCACGTGGTAGTGGGGGCAAACATGGTACAGTACACTGGAGACATGTGGGGTGGTGTGCATGAGTGCTGTGGAAATGGGCAACATCATGCAGGATATAGCAGTGAGAAGGGCTGAAAATGTTAGTGTAGAATGGAATTGCCCCCACCAATATGCCCCCCCCCCATGCTGGTTTTACCGTTGAGTGAACAGTCATTTCCCTCCGCAGTTGCTGATGTACGATCTGTACACTTTACACAGCAGTTCAGCCCAGTGCTCTGTATTTCAAATTATGCTCACAAAATTACTTCTCATTGGTCAGCGTGATTAGGTGACCGTGCTGTGTCCGGTGTACGGATTGCACACCACTAGCATCCATGTAGGGGAATGTCCATTCACTCAAAGGTAGGACCAGCAGAGGGGGGGGGGGGGGCAGGTGGGGG